TCCCAGCCTCAGTTTCTCAATCATTTAAAATGGGATAATCCTAGTGCCTACTTGGAGGGGCATTGCAAGGATTAAATTACATGGGAAATACAAAGTTCTTAGCATGACGCCTGGCGATTTGGAAGCACTCGAAGAACAAGACTCAGCAGTCGTTGACATGTCTCTGACATGGGATAAAATAGCTGATTAAGGAGAAAAGGCTCTCATTGGTCAGCATCTCTTGTGTCCTGGGTGCTGCGTGGGCAGCTACTTCCGTCAGCTCATGTAACTGTCAGCATCTGGTAGACAGTTACTATGTGCTGTAAACACTACTATCTGACAAGCCAGCTTTTATTGAGCACTTGCTATGTGCTGGACATTGTGCAAAGCACTTTATGTTCCCCCAGAAAACATATGACCTCCTCGCAATGACCCTGCAGCAGGTACTATTAGCCCATTTTTGAGAGGAGAAAACTGAGGCTCAAAGAAGTTAAGTCACCTGCCCCAGATCGCCCAGTGAATCCAACCCAGGTCTGCTTGAAGGTCCAGCCCTTGAGCTGACATAAGGTTCAAGCCAAATTCTGTGTTTTGTTTTGTTTTTAAACCAGGAACACTAGGAACCCAATTTAAGGTTGCAGGCGCAGATTAAAAAGAATAAAAAAATCTCAAAGTGACTTTTCATAATGATTACACAGTATCAAAGTAATTCCCTTTAATAAAACAATTTTAAAAGGCAAGTCCAATTCGTGAGAAGGGGGCCTTTAGCTCTCCAGCCCCCAACCCCTAGACTCCTCCATCGGCAGGGTCTGTCCACAGAGCCGAGGCCGTGCATCACTCCAGCATTCTCCATGAACAGGTGCATCTGAGACATAATTGGGAAATTGTATCAGTGACCGCCCAACCCTCCAAATACTCCAAGGACAGATGACATGCAGGCTGATTCCACACTGCGATTTGCTAGATACTATTGTCTTCGTACTTATAATGGTGGTTGTTAATAGCCATCTATTTGTAGTTCCATGTTTTTACCAGAATAAGCAGGCTTTTGGCAGGCGCAGTTGTTTTAAGGCTTAAAATAAGTATAAGAGACGCTTGAGATGTTCTAATTAGTCAAAACTGTAACTAAGATGATGCTGAGGATCAGCCTGTTCTTGATGCCACTCTGAGATTTCACTAGTGTTCCGAAGCTGTAAAGCTCAAGGGCAAAAGGCTTCCTTGTGCTCTTGGGACCCGGAAGCTCTCTGTAATGCCCTTCAGGCAAATGGGAGCCATAGCCAGCGGCCAGCAAGCGGTCACTGTAACAATGTCCCCAAGATGAGGGAATCCAGATCACTCTCTGGGAGTTAAATTCTAAGATCATCACATATTGGCTCTGGTTTGAAAGCCAGGCAAACATGAGCTCAAATCCTGGTTTCACACAGTGTGGCTTTGCACAGGTTATTTTATCTCTCTGTGTCTCAGATTTGACATTCGTAAAAAGATGATGACACCTATATGGCGAAGACCAAATACAGTGATGCTTACAAAACTCTCCCCCGCAGAGCCCCCAGCATTAGTAGGACTTCAACTGGCAGTAGCACTTTGTTATTACTGGTATTATTGTTCTTATTAAAATTATCATCACCATCATCATCAAATCAGAGATTCGCAGTCACCTGAAATAGCCGCTATTTCTCCCAAGTTAGGACCTGCATGTAAAGACATTGAAGGGTAAACATATCTTAAGAGAGTGTCCAGTAGAAGGGGCTCAGCCGCTCACGGAAGCAAAAGAGGGAACAGCATTCATTCATTCAACAAATATTCACTGAGTTTCCACCACGTGCCACACCCTGTGCTGAGGATTGAGGGTCAAGAGGGAGATTGATGCAGATGCCACCCAGCCCTCCTGGAACTGGGAATCAAGAAGGGCGGGCAGACAGGAAGTGGGTAATGAACGTAAGCGGTTACGAGAGTCGAGAGTCGCGACAGGCATGATGGGGTGCTTGGCGGGGAACCTAAACAGGCGTAGGGTATCCCTGAGGAAGCGGTGGTTCAGCTGAGCCCCAAGAATGAAAAGGAACCTGGTTGGTTCTAGGCAGCTGGGAACAAGAGGTAGAGAGGCCACCGGGATGATCCACATGGAAGGCCAAATGGCTGGAAGGTAGTGTTTGTGCAGAGAGCAGTAAAGGATGGTTCAGAGGTGTAAAGGGGTTGGTGCTGGCAGTGGGCAAGTAGGGGAGCCTTTACCAACATACGTTGAATGTCTGGTCTTGAAAACTGGGCACATCATGTAAGATTCACCCAAGCCATCAACTGTTTGATTCCTCAGCTCTCCTGGCCTGAGTCGAACCTCACCCCGTAGGCGGGTGTGCAGGGAGAAACCGGCTGTGTGAGTCCTCTCCCGGTAGTAGTCTACCGGCCTACCGTGGTGGAGCCATGTGGACCCCGAGGATGCTGGGGCGCCTGGAACCTGAGTGCCATTGCCCACTGACATCGTTTTCAATCACAAGGCCAACATCAAAAGTCCTGAAGAGTGACAGTCTTAGCAGTAGGCTGGCCTGTGTTAGGGGAATCTACTAGGCATCTCATTCAGGAAATCCTCCAATTCTTCCGAGGCCTCCACTGAGGCTCCTTTCAAATGTCTCCTCTTTCTTGTCCCCTTCCCGTTAAGTCTCACCCACCCCTCCTTCCCTTGTGGTCTCCCCAGCCACACACAGGCCTATTCCTCCTCCGCCTCCTCCCCACATGCCGTATACAACCCACTGTCTCCTCTGCCTTGCAAAACGCTTGGGAGGACTAGCGGCCTGCTCCGTTCTACACGCTGGCCTTGCAAACATGGTTACTAGGCCCCAGGTGCAGAACCACGAGAGGGGGCGGGATCCACAGGTGATGTCTGCTGCGAGAATAGGAGAGGGAGTGGGAGCGCCTGCATTTTGCCTTCTCCATCCGGGACTTAGTTTCTCTTTACCTTTTCACGCATTTCCTAACTTGAGAACTTTGAGCAAAGACTGCATCCGGGAAGGTTCTTCGACTAGTGCATTTCCACGCACATTAAGTGCTTAGTAAATATTTGCCGAGAGAAAACGACCTGAGCCACTCAATTGCAGACTTATAATTGTGGCTTCTTGTATAGAACAAGACCGTTTAATTCCTGGGTGGTTTGAGGGAGGCAATGGTGAGCGGTGTTCCTAGTGATAGAGAAGGGGGACAGGGGTTGGAACCACACGGATGTTACATGCTAAGAATTTCAGATGGACCTTCCTGTTTCCAAATCGATTCCTGTTCGGCATTTTGTCAGACAGTTCCCAGGACACTTGGGGGCAAGGTGATGATGAATCACAGGAATGTTCAGGAGCATTGGCACCAGATGGGGAGTCAGACTCACCACATGTGACTGGGAGCCCTCTTCAGCCTCAGCGGCACTCCAGATGCAGGGGGAGGCTGGGGGGAGGGTGCCATCAGAGTGTGGGGTGGGGGCCCTGGGAACAATGCAGGGGAAGGGGAAGAGATAAGTGCAGGGAGAGGCAGAGGGAAGAAAAGAAGTGGGGAGAACAGTAGGGAAGGAGGAAGACACCAACAAAGAGTTGGGCCAGTGACATCGCCTGGCTTGGCCTGGTGGGGGAAGGAGGGATTGGAGCTGGAGTGGGCTCATGGGCCCTTGTGGGCAGCACGTTTTTCTAGGTAGGGATTATCATTCCACGGGTTGGGTGAGGGGACAGGCTCAGAAAACCACACTTCCGCGCAACCTCCAAATTAACACCTCTGCCTCCCGGAAACGACTCATGCTCTGGGCCTGAGAGAAGAAACGAATAATCATAATTAAAAAAAAAAGTAGATAAATAATTGCCAGTTTACAAATTTTTAGCGAAAAATAACTGCCCCAGCATAAAAGTGTGATAATCATGTTCTTTCATCCTAGTCAAGATGTCATCTTCAGACCGTGTAGTCACAGTTTTCTTCCTGACACACGGGATTCTCTTCCCGGAACCACCTTCACCCTTCGTGCATAATCTTGGAACCGCCAGTTCATGCCTCACTGCGGGCACCTCACCTAACCCCACCGGTGGAAGAGTCCCCTGGGACTATGGTTCTGCATGGAGAGATGGCAAAGCAGTTCTTGCTGCCAAAATCCTGACCCATCTCCAGGCCCAATCTCCAGCCTGCCTTTCTCAGGGGGAGCCCCAGATTTTTCCAGTCAGCTCCCTTTAGGCGTATGTGGGCTGAGTCAGTTTCTTTGCCTTGCACCTGAAGATCCCCAACTGATGGAAGCGAATTCTGCAGACTTGAAAGTCACACTGGCCTGTCAGTCATGCATTCACTCCAGGAGCAAACATTTCTTAAGCTCCTGCATTGTGCTCCAGTTGCTGATTCTACAATGGTGAGTGGCGCTTACAGACTTCAGCTCTCAGAAACTATTCCCAGCTGGGACCTCTTGGCAGTGGGTACAGTTATCAATTGTCATTTAGAGGATAAAGGCCTTTTATCCTCTTATCAGCCCAGCTATACAAATCACTTAAAATTCACTTCGATGTTGAAAGGATCATTAGCAAGCTATGGCTTCAGTGCCTGATGTCTCAGTTGCTGATTACTGTCCTGGCAAGTAAGTGGCCCTTCAGAAAGGCTGCTCACCCGTCACCATGGGGCCTCCAGGCTTGGAGTTTCCATTTGTCCTCCTTTCAGCCGACTGACCAGGTCACATAAGTACACGGAGTCCTCCACAGTCAGAGAAAGCCAGGCTCAGCCTGGCCAGCAGCTGCTTCTTCTCTGTGTTCGCTCTTGAGGAAAACATTAAAAGAGCACATAGCCAGGGCCTTGCTTTGATCATTTTATTTTGAAGGAACCACAGTAGGCAAAGCCATCATTGATCAAATGCTTAATTCTCCTGGCACGAAGCACCTCACATGGGTCCTTTTTAAATCTGCCCACCAACCAGCCAGCATCACTTTCAAGTTTATAGAGGAGGAAACTGAGGGTCAGCGAGGTCAGATGACATGTTCTTGCCACCCAGGTGGTA